GAGTGTGCCAACTCCTATCCTAGATAAAGACAGGACCAGGTTTATCAATAATTTGGTAGCAAATTCTACCTAGATTATGCAACAGTTCTAAAGTGGAGGACACGGTTAGGAATAGTATGATTTCAAGAAATTGTACCATAATTTTCTGATACAGTTTATGTCACTAACCTGTATATATCACACTATATAAAATAAGTCAAAAGAATGCCTGATTTGGTAAACTCTAAATGTAAAGGTAAATTTCACAACATGACCTTTTAAAGCAGAGCTCCATGTCTTCAATATTTGAGGCCAGAAAATTGCCACATCTAAGATTTTAGCTTTGAACTTGATCCCTTTTCTAATTTCTTCAGAGAAACCCTTATTCAACACTGAGTGGGCACTTACTCTGTGCCAGACCCTGGGTTAGCTCTGGAACAAAATAAAACGTATACTTTGGCCTGGTCACACAATAGGATATTTAAGGAAAGAGATAATCCTAAAAATCACATGGGACACTTGTAATAATTATTACAGTTGAATGATGTTGGTCTGCCACTGCTCTAGAAAATTCAGTGAGTAAACCCTATGTTTAGATTGCGCTCTAAAGTGGGTTATGGAATTTATATCTTTAAGACAAGGTTTATGATAGATTCAGGGAGCCTGGGATTTGGACCCCCCCAAAATTATATATTTATTTTAACTAACCTCTGACAAATTCACCATTTCCTTCAACTGTGAACATAACCACAACTGTAATAAAGACTTAGCAGAATAACAGACTTTGTACCAATATAAATAATAGATATATTTTTATATCATGTTATACTTATTACATGATCATTTAAAAATTATTATAGTTATAAGACCCACTGATAGCAAACATTATATTAATAAAAAGCACATAAGTGCTATATCACTTATGTACAAAACATAAAAATATTTTGATAACTATATTTCAACATAATTTGTTTTCCTTAAAATTCTATTTATTTTATTTTTTGCACATTAAAATATTATTCCAAAAAGGTAGTAGTCCACAAGATCTCACCATACTGCCAAAGGAGTTCATGACACAAAGAAATTAAAACTTCTGCCAAAAAATAAACAAATATAATCACTTCTAAGGTAATTCTCTGTAGATTTAAAAAACTACCTATTTTCTGTTAAGTTCAATACACTCATTTTTTTCTCTAATGTACAGCAAAGACCAAATGTCACTATTTTTAGCAGCTTTCACTTTAAAACTGTTTTGCAAATAGTTGTGATTGTGACATAACAGCCTAGCAGATCCATGGGTTCCACTGGCTTTATTGGTAGTAATTCTAGTCCAAACATAGAAAGCTTCAAACTAATATAATGTTCAACTTTCAATGAGAGAGAGAGAGAGAGAGAGAGAGAGAGAGGTGACAGAAAAGACCAAAACAAAAAAAAAAGTAATCAAACTTCAAACACATGTCTAAGTACCCATTTGACAGGGATGTTGTGAAAAGGGCAGTTGAGGACTAGCAACAGAAAGGTTTAAGCTTAGGAAAGAGAAGGTGCCTTCTGAGCAGATAAGCAGGAGGGCTGAGCCCTAACCTCCAAACTCTCCTTTCTAAGTTACATTGTTTCTCTAATGTGGCTGATGTGATGATAAAGTAAAAAATAAAAAAGCAGCCACAATCTTGAGCAAAACAGAACTCTCACAGTCATCACTGATAATTAGAAAATACTCTGACTTTGGGTTTCTCTAACTGAAAAAATTCCCTCCAAAATCATGACTTTTTAGAAAAAATTTATCTTTCCAATCATTTTAGGGTTACACAAACATTGGTGTGACATATTTCTGTTTGATTCAGAAAGGTGATTATCTCTATCTGTAGAAAAACCAGATGACCTGGCTTCAGATCAGAGTTATGCAATAAATTATTATGCTTGCTTTTTCTATGAATATTTCATAAATTAATTATCACTGGGGGGGTAGGGGCTGGATGGAGTGTAGTATAGGGGGTAAAATGGGAGACATCTGTAATACTGTCAAAAATAAAATATATTTTTTTAAAAAAAGAAAAGAAATACATAAAAGAATAACAGAAAAAAAATAATTAATTCTCATCAGGGTTAATAACATGGAGAAGTTACTCAACTACCCAAGGGAATCATGAATGAGGTCTGGTGGTTTACAAACTCCATGAGACTGTATACAGAATTTGGTGAGTGTGCACAGATTTCAGATTTTTTTTTTAAAGCCTACAGCACCCGGTATTCCCAGGCGGTCTCCCATCCAAGTACTAACCAGGCCTGACCCTGCTTAGCTTCCGAGATCAGACGAGATTGGGCGTGTTCAGGGTGGTATGGCCGTAGACTCAGATTTCAGATTTTTAAAGGGCTGTTTAACCAGAAAAATCATTATCTCTGCCACAGTTAGGAAATATAAAACAAGAGAATGCAATAATTCTTCCCACAGTCACAGAGTGACTCAATGTCACCAGATAGAGTAACTGGGGACTTCTGAATCCAAGGCTCTATATGACTAGATCCATGGTTGGCAAACTGCGGCTCACGATTCACATGCGGCTCTTTGGCCCCTTGAGTATGGCTCTTCCTAAGCCTTAGGAGTATCCTAATTAAGTTAATAACAATGTACCTACCTATATAATTTAAATTTTAAAAAATTGGCTCTCAAAAGAAATTTCAATCGTTGTACTGTTGATAATTGGCTCTGTTGACTAATGAGTTTGCCGACCACTGGACAAGATCATTCTCCTCAAGGGTTCAAATCTCCAAAGAGGAGGTCTCCAAGAAAAATGAAACCTCACCTATTTATGGAAGGAGAAATCATAAGCTGAAGAAGGAATAACATTAGATCTTTACCAAGCAGGCTGTTACACTGGTTTTCAAAGGGAATTTGCAAAGCAGCGTGGGTCAAAAAGCATAATTACATTCAGGAAACACAAACACCCCAGAGGGTTGGACCCCGGCAGTGCTGCATTCTCCAAGCCTAAATGATCAGCTACCTTGAAGCATATATTCTGGTCTAGAAAGAATTTCTTCAGTAGTTCCTTTTAGTTATGTAGAATGTAAGCCAAGTAAACATCTAATATTCTAGAAAAGGGTTTAACTATCCACTGTTTTCAAAGTTAAACAAAGGCTTCCCTCCCCATTCCCAACTCATTCCCATTCAAGAACCTTTCTGAACTCTATCCCCTGTCACAAAGTGCAGAAGTGTGTGTATAGGAGGTGTTAAAATTACCTCACGCTTATTATATTAGATTGTTTTTAATTGGGTGGCACATCAGTAGCACCTTCTACGAAGGACTGTAAAAAAGGAGGAGGTGGTGTAACTCACTTTAGTTCATTTCATCTGCATCACCGACAGCCCTCATGAAAGGGAATCAGTAGGAAATAAAACCACAGCTAAACATCATTTGAATAACCCCCGGCATAGCATCATTGCCAGTCTTGGCCTCCAGGGTCCAAATCCCTGAGCTGAAATGCTAACGACATTAAAGCCTCTCCCATGTGGCATTGGTCACCAGTGCAGACCTTCCCACCCTCATCCTTTCTTCTCCAGGATGGTCGCCATCCGTTGGCCACTGATGACTGCACCCAATTCCATTCTCCACGGATGTCGTTTTACTAGCCATTGTCTGTGCGGGCAGAATCACTAAGAACCAAGACTGAAGAGGGCCCTGAAGGTTCTATGTCCTTGCTCCCATTTTATTCCTGGCAGAATGTCGTCTGTCTCTCTCTGCGATTCCCTCCTAAGCCTGGTTCCCACCAGTCCCAAGGCTCTCCCTTCCTCAATGTCAAGTGCTGGCAGTTTTTCCAACTCTCCACCCCTCTCCCTTCACTGTCTCTGTAGCTGTCACGGTCCCTATTGCAATAGGCAAGTTCCGGCTCTCACCACTGAGCTCCTCAGTTTCAATCCTCAGTCGTAACTAGTCACTTCAGTTACATCTGGGGAGCCTTCTCCAGGTCAGTCCACCTCCCAGAGCCTGTGCCTCGAGCACAGAGCCCCTCTTCCCAGCTGCGTCTCTGTCCTTGCAAACAACCCTAGCATCACCGCCTCTCAGACCTGAAAGGAAGCTCAGAAACAATGTGGCCCAGTGTTTCCAGGCTTTCTAACTACGTTTTATTTCACATACTTGAAGATATACGAAATCCATTTTCCATCACCATCTCATCTATCTATCTATATAGCTCTCACTGGCACCAATCGCATGCATGTGTTTTGATCTGTCATTGTCGATGGTGAATTTGGTTGATACTTCTGCTGTAGAGAAAGGGCAGGTAGCGACATTAAAATATTTCTTTCAATGTGCACGAATCCCTGCACGGGGCCACTAGTATACACAGAACTGAAACGCCTTGCATGCAATACTTACCCTTCTTTGTGAGCACAGTGAGCATTTCTATTCTATTCTATTTTTTAAAATCCAGGGGCCCTCCACTAAACGGATGGCACAATTCAATAGCAGGATGGGACCCCCCCCCCTCTTCCAGGAAGCATTCCCCGGGTCAGCCTGCGCGTGCACGGAGGGAGACACTCGTTGTCCCTCCAGCCACCGAGAGGGCTGGGTGCCGAGCGCGTGCCTAGCCTCGAGCTGGTCCGCAGGGTTACTCCCGGGGCGGCGGCCCGTCCCTGACCGGTGTCCTCTCCGCCGGAGCCCTCCTCTGCCCAGTCACGGCCACGCGCACACAGCCCTACAGTGCCACCGGCTCCTCAGCGGTCCCCCTCTCCTCCCGGTGGGACCCCCAAAGTTACTGCTCCCCGGCCCGTCTCCCCCCGCAGCCGCTGCTTCGGGCTCCCTTCAAA